AGCATAATTTTATTTAGTACTTGACATTCCTAAATGTATAATAAAACGCGTGTTGTAGTTTTGTGAATTGTTTATGTGAAAATCTACCAAATATTTTTTCATACACTCATCATAGATTTTCATCAAGTATATATAGGTTTAGCGCATCAAAATCAAATATATCACATTTGCGTTGAGAGCTTGATATTGAGTTTTTAGTTTTTTCTCATCCAAAATCATTTCATAAATATGAAATAAAAAGTGAATTACTCTGCTTTTTTGGCCATGTTACAAGTTTAGTTCCTCCACACTGTATTCTCTTACTTTTAAACGATTCGTACAAATTAGTTATTGTTAAAAACAAAGTTTATCCATATTGAATACTAAAATGTGCATTGTAAAAAAAGTATCCAATTTAATTGTATTCATGGCTCACTATTTTGCATATAGTGGCTACCATATAAGAGGTAGATATATGCTATCGCGAACTGTTGTTTAGAAATAAAAGATAAACAATCTTACGGTACATTATCTTTATGTAACTCCATAGGCAGGGCAAGCCAAGATACCTCTCAGGAGCAAGAATTTTTCCGACTTACTTAATACTTTCCTACTGTTATATTATGAGCAAAATTACAGAAAATATTTGTAAATTGTAGCCTATATGTTATTCTGATGTAGGTAGGTATATGTAAAGTTTTATCTAAATCCGATCAGTCGTTTAGTCACATACATACATACGTCCTCAAAACTTTCATATTTATATTAGTATGGATTAAATAGATATAGATTTTCATCAAGGAATATTTGTCAATTATAGGATTCTTTGAGGAAGTGATCGTATGAGGCATTAGTAACTTTTGGAAACAATTTCGTCTTCTACATCATCATTAGTGGTAAAACACGGATCCGTGATGCCTACTCTCTTAGAATGTATTTATTAATAATTGATCAGAACGATATAAAGTAATAATTCATTTTATGTATACATATAAATAGAAATAATTATCATGTCTGGTACAGACATGAATGTACTGGTACTGGTACTGGTACTGGTACATGCTCTGAACGATGACAGAGGTACCTGAAAAGGGATATTATAGTTCGTGCCACTTAGGTTACAAAAATATCGATCAAAATCAAAGAAAGGTATTGTCATCATATGTAAGTATGTAGTCATGAAAATTAAAATATGTTGAATGATGGTAATTATGGTGGCAGAATAAGGACGATTTTGAAAATTAGTATTTCGCTCCTTTATTTTCACTATTTTGTATTGCATTAGAATCTCAGATGAAAACTGAACCTTAACAGTTGTTAGTCGCTATAAAACACGCATTTCATGTAGAAGAACGGTTACACATTTCGAAAATATGACTCCCTTAAATGTATGCACTGACAATGTGAGCTCTGTCGATGTATTCAAGTAACACTTCATTGTGAGATTTTTATTGAACAGTTAACAAAACCACAACATGTGTTTCACTATACAATACATTTCTTAGGCTTATGAAATGAATTTCGTCAAGTATCGGCCAAATCCATCATATATCTCTGGGTTTACCATTTGGCCCTTTGAGCAAAACTTAATCGTTCTTGAAGAAATGTCAAATTTTGATCGAAGAAATGATCGGTTGAAAAAAACTTGAAGAAAATATACAAAATACATGCGAATGTGGAAAATGGGGTTTCTTCTGTAAAAAATCCAAACTCATTAAGGAAAGAGAAGCATAATTCTAAGAAGACGAATCTTCGCAGATATCAAATTGAAAAATATACAGAATATACTGTTACACATGATTCTCGGACCCAATAATTACTTACCCCACGGTGTGGTTGGTAGACAATGCTGGCGCGCCCTCCGAATGAATCGGAGCTTCGGGAGATGGGGCCTGACCAGCGGAAACTTAGATAAAAAATAACAATAATAATAATAATAAATCGAAGTTCATTTTATTTTTATTTAAGAACGGACAACAAAATTAAATTGTTCTTCCACTCAATCTTCTACTTGACCTTTAGTGTATAACTATTTATTACAAACTGTGGTTAATGAACTTCAAGTTCCGTTTTTGTTATATGAATGACATTTCAACAGCTATCCTCCAAGGTAACGAAGATGAGGTATCAACGGTTTTTATTATTTTCCATCCCAAAATTCAATCCACACCAGAAATGGAAAAGAACAATTGCATATTTCTCTTGAATACTTTAGTTATGAGGAAACATTATGGAAATGTATTACAGATTGCCAAATGTAGGAAGAGCTTTCTGAATTCCGTTATGGTCCCGCCCGCTAGATGTTCGGTCATTAGAAGACTATGAGAGCGAGAGAGTCAGAATTCTCAAGTATCTTTCTAAATTTGACAAGGTGTAGATAATTGGTATCAAAACGCAGCTACAATCAACGGACTGAAATATAGTGCTCTTTTTCCACATCTCTCAGTGACAAAATATTTCCAAGTATCTCCGTGGAAATGTTAGGAAATGACAAAATCACGGTATCACTTTGCAATGAAAACATATTAGCGAATTTCTTCTAGTGTGATAGTCTAATGTAGTTTATAAAATTGATGATGTTGAAATTGTGACAACCCAAACATCGTGAAAACAAAAACATTACCTTAGTTAGAGTGTGCAGCAAAACAAAAATGATAGTAAAGCATGTCATGGACAGATAGAACTGTACTACCTTATTGAACTTGGTCTCAATTTCAAGTTCAGTGATACATATATTTCAAATCGGAGAGATATATGTAGAAGATACTCATTCTAGAAATAATTCATATCTACACTCGCAAAAACTGTGTTAATAGACACTGAACTTATCAGTATAGCATCAACATCATTGAATAGATTTCTGAATGCTTGATTACACAAAAACTGGTTAGTGATGAACATGTTTCGAATTTGGTTTTATGAGTACCTATAGGTATATCTCATTGGTCATTGGTTTTATCCATCATCAAATTTTTTTTGCCATCATATTAGATGTCGATAAACAGTCGTCTAATGCTTTTATTTGTATTTTATCGAACAACTTTTGTTTTGCTTGATATTTTGATTACGTAATATATTTTTAACGCACATACAATGCAGACGTAAATAGTCTCGCCCCTTTCAACTTATAAACGGAACAAGATATCAATTTCAGACGAAATTTTCGTAAAAATGCATAATTTTTAGTACTTTCAATAAGAAAGACAATAGTACTGCATCAAGAGGTATTTCAATTTTCAGTCCAATATTTTTTCATTGTTGAGAATCGAATTTGACATTCCCAATAAATTAGCAGTTTTATATTCGTTTCAAAAATCTACAAACAAACTGTTAATATCATAATTCATGTAAAACTCACTCCAGTTCATTCCAATAATTATTAAAAATGTAATGATTCACTAAACAAAAATAATGAACTCGTTTTACAATGTTTTTCTACATTATAAAATGTTTCTAGGGTAATATTGTTGCATGCACATCTGTTTCTATTCACGAGTTCTAAAATGATTTGTGGTTGTGTATCGTACACTTCAGATGTCGAGTCTGTAGGCGTCATATCAAGTGATCTAGTGGGCTCTTCTAAGGAATAACGTTTGCCTGTCTACCGGTTTGGAAAAATGTTAAACCCGAAAGAATTTTCAAATAATATACGGTTTCAGCAAAAATAAGTGTCTCTTCATTACGACGAGCTATTTTGAAAGTAGCTTGATGACAATTATCCAACCGTGGATAAGTAAACGTGATCCCTTAGAATGACTCGCTGCATTACCTGATATGACAACCTTAGATTTCTGTGAGGATTGCTAAAATCTAAAGTTTACGGTACACAACCGCACTCTACTCCTGATCTCATGGCTAGAATAAGAGATGCTCCTAACGAAATCATCTCAAAACATTCCGTGATGGATTTGTAAACAAACTGCATTATTGCCAGGAAGTGAATGGTAACTAGTTAGAACATTCACTGCAATAACGGAAATGAGTTTAGAATACATTTTTTCTTGAAATTATGATATTTATCGTTTGTTTGTGATCCTGCTAATTACTCAGGACTGTCTGACCCGATTTTCAAAAATAAAAAAGTTGGACAAAAAATTTAAATACTCTTCAAACGAGTTATCATAATACTCTCTCTTTCTATTTCAAGAAAAGTTGGTAACGCTCCTAGGTATCGAGTGACTCAAGTCACTCAAGTACTTGAAATTATACCTTTTTACGTAAATTTTGTCCGACCTCAATATCTTGTTTTATTCAAAAGTTAAGAGGAGGAGGGATTATTTACATCCGCACTGAATGATTCTGATATTTCAAGTCGGTTCTATTATCTGCTACTATTTAAGCCTGAGGTGAGGTAAGTTACAAATTCCTCTTGTGAAATGTGTTAGTTGTTTCAGTGTTGACACGACTGTCGTTTTATATATTTATTTATTATTTCAGCTCTAAAGAAGCAAAAAATGTATCATATTTATAGCGAATTTATTCTCCAGTAGGTACGCAGCTATCCAAAAATTTTTCTGAATTCGATCAAGCCAAAAAACTAGGAGTATTAGGTAGGTGTCAATGTCGGCTGTCGTATGAGTGTTCATCTCACACTTGCAGAATCCCTTAGGGTCACACGTGACATAACAAAATGACAACAGACGTAGTTACATCGGCTCCACACCTCAGTGTCGATTTTTTTATTATGAATATATTTTCGCAGTTCTACTGGAAAGGTAACACCGCAGTTTTGTTTTTTTATCGGCTACTTTTAATTACACAGCCTCACTGTCACCAGTAACACCTGACATTATCGGTCTGTCCTCTCCAAACCGAGCAGTACCAGCCCGCGTGTGATCCAAATATTCAAAATAATTCCGCTTCGTTGTACACACACAATTCATTGGAGAATGCGCTTTCCCTTCGAAATCTCCGCCAGACCCGCCGATGTCCGAAATACACGTTCTTGCGTATATTGTAAGAAGACACATCCACCTTATTGAAGTATAACGGGCCTTGCAAGTCCGTCTCTGGCGCCTGTGTGGCGCCACTTATCCCCACCAGGAGTCTAGACCCGTCTCACTCTGACGATTCTACTCACAAGATTGTCGAGCCGTGGATCGGAGCGATTCAGTCAACAAGAGACTTCCATGCAAGAACGGTATAGCTCTTAGCGCGCGACTAACCGGCAATAGAAAAAAGTGACTGTGCACAGTGGTCAGTGCGGTGAGAAGATATCAAAGTGTGTGCGAAACGACCTATAGTGGCCCCCAAATGCTTACCCTGCGTCGAGCCAAAATCCTCTTTAATGTTCATGTTCCGAAGCAGAAAGACAAACCTCACTAAACGCCTCAAAGACAGAAAGAGGCGAAGCAATGAAACCAGGCGTTCGGCTGAGGAAGACGCGGTAAGCATCGATAACTTCCTGAAGAAGCTTCAGGAAAACCAGCTGGAGATGCTGCTCAAAGCCATCGACAGTAGGGGTCAGGAACTTAGTAACTGCGTTCTGTTACCTCAGAAAGTAGGCGAGGAACCGCACGTGCTCTTCTGTCAAACTTGGCGATGGCCAGACTTGCGGCAGGGCACCGAACTGAGAAGGTTACCAATGTGTAGGACAGCAAGTGATTCGGTTTATATCTGTTGCAACCCTTACCACTGGAGTAGACTGTGCCAGCCTGGTGAGTGAAAATGTAACCTAAGAATGGCCTCCCATATCGCATTTCTGTTTACCCAACGATACATTATGAATTTAAATTTATGTCTAAACCTCGAGTCACTACAATTCTGTTTCCAAACATGAAGTGAGTTGGTTACATGAAAAAAATCCGGCCAATCGCCACACTACGACATGACGGCATATCAGAATAGATCTTGTGCTCATTGGTCGGCTGGTGAACTAGCCAACTTTCAACTCAAAGGTCGAACACGTGGTCCAAATTTAAACCTATCTTTTAGAAAAAACTTGAGACATTTCGAATTAATCCAAAAAGTATAAGTGCATGTCATGTAGTGATGCATTTGCTGGTTGGTTCATTAGAGATTTTATTATTCTACCAAAGTTTTCAAACGCATTTATGCCTGAACCATTTCTTTATTTTTTCAGTTGTAGTGAATACATTCTTTACAACCAGTGTGTTGTAAAATTGTGAATTTAACCTCGCTTTATGTGACTCTGAACCAAAAATAGATCCGATGTCGACAAACATCGGAGGAAAATGAATAATGTTGCCGCAAATGGCGGATAAGGAATGTCAAATCTGATTTGGTTCCGAGTAAAATGATAATTAATTGCGATTTCGGTGAATGACATTTTCTTAAACAAAGAAAACAACCCTCTCGAATATGTATTCATCAACAAACCAGAATCAACTTCCCAATCAGGAAAATTTGTTGATGATTCAATATAATCAATTTATTTCTATTCATTGTTCTCGCATTCAATTTGGAATCTCGTTTTGACACTAAGTAATCTCCATAGTCAGATAATAATTCAACTATTGATGACCTGTCACCGCTGTTTATCTTGTTTCTTCAGTAATGGGTTGCCGTAAAGATAATAAAAGTAACATATGCATTAGAAATGTAACACATTTCAAGATCCAAAGATTAGGCTGTATAGAATTATTTCCGTAATTACAAATTCAAATACATTTGCCATGCTTTCCAACAGGTAGGTACTGTCTAGAAGAGTTATTGTCTATAACGAAGTGATCTCTCGTCAAAATAGACTGAATTATTTCTTGTTAGTGTTTAACAAATTAGTGGTTTTTCCTGGAATCTAGTCATTACATCATTACGAATAACTTTTGAAAGGAGAAACCGACTTTATCACGTGTTCTTTGAACATTCCGACTTATAACATGGCTTTTGCATTAATTGTATGAAAGTTGTCTTTATTATACACCACAGTGTGTGACTATTTGTTAATTTCTTCCTTATTATCTTCACGCTTTGCTCTTCATTAATAGCTCGAAATTGAATGTAGGACGATGATCGTGGGTTGTCGAGCTTTTCCACTATTTTGATATGTTATGTTTCTTCGAATATAGCAATATACCGTTTATTAATCCTTATTTGCTTTTTATGAATACACATTTCATTCAAATTTTTGTTTCCTCTTAATCCTACCATTTATTAGTAATTTGCATCAGTTGTCTCTCAGGTCATAAAACCTTCAGGAAGGGTCGGAAATCTGAAATTATATTCTCTAGGAAGGCACGTGCCTTCACGAAAGGTGTAGTTTTAAAAATAGTGTCAACTTATAAATCATCTTCCATCCAAAAATATCATTTTCATGAAATCCCATCACGGTCCTTTTAATCGCTTAATAACAAAAATTATTATCTTTTACAACGTTGATGATATAGAAAGGTATTGTGATAATTTTGTCAATATTCAGTAGAATCTCTCATAAGTGTCTTGAATTTCAAAATAAGAGTTTGTAATACTTTGTTTCATTAATTTGTAATATATTTTCATCTAAATTAAAATACGATAGCGATCCAGCTAGAATGACTAATTAATTATTAACAAAATTGTTAAGACTTTCGCGGTCGATTTTCGGATTTCTTCCTGAGGATAACGTCATCTCCAATGACAGTCATCGGAGATAAACTCATAAACTCAGGGTGCATAAACCTCTGAAGAAGCTAGCTACTCGCCTTGGCGAAACGTTAGGAAGAAAATCCAAAAATCGGCCTTTAAACCCGAAAAATACTGACAGCGAATTGATTATTAATTATTTAAGATGGAATTTAGCCATTTTATTGTGTTTTTCACAACATGTCTTTCACTATACATACAATGTTTTTCAGACTTTAACAGTATTGTAGACTACGCTAAGTTTTTCAGTATAATAAGATCTGGAATAGTTGAAACACTATAGCTAAGTATATTGAAATATGTTTAGCAGTTTTCAAACTATTTCATGAAAATCTCACAAAAAACGTTGATTTTGTTCGTTTATTCATCATTTGCTCTTTGTAAAAGGTGAATATTATAGAAATATATTAGTCTGAAGATAATTCAGATAATTATTCTGATTTCTAGAATCGAAATAATAGAAGGGGATCACATAACCTTCAGAGTACCACGACCTTCAAGGTTATTAGTGAAATAACCGTAATCTATTCCACACTTGACGCAAGTGTGCTGAAGACGTTTTAGGTGTTCACTGTGCCATATTGATTCCATTACAAAAACATGCAGTGAGACCTCACATCGTTATTCACGACTTTGGTATGAATATAGTATGCATATATGGGTTCTATTCCAACTCTGGCACTATGGATCTACTGTGTTTCATCTGACCTGTGCTAAGAATTGTACATTGAAATGTAAACCCTCCTCAAACCTTAGGTTATACAAGTTTGGATTTTAGAGAGTTTCCGTTTATATGCGGCCATTTGGGTTTTCAAACCCATGTTAGGTGGGTTCCCTTTAAAAATGTGGCTCGAAATTTATATACTTTGGTTTCTCAGTAGTCAGTGGTAGAAGAAATAGAACTTCAAATATGGTTCCTTTCATTGCGTCCTCTCAAAAGTAGTAGCCATTAAGTAAGCATTCGTACTGTATATCGAAATATTCACTGTTGTTTTGCGATAACAAAATCACTGTTTTCAAGCCCTAAAAATGTCTTCACGAGTAGTGATAACTTGGTATTCAATGGTGAATATATAAACACTGAGTGTTTATTACATTTCGTACGAAATGAAGTTTATTTTTTAGAAATGCGAAATTCATCCAAGAACAATATACCTTCAAAGATGACCATATTTTGAGCATTTTCCGAGTAAACTGATCATTCTTGTAGCTATAAATCTGTAGTTCGATCACGTTGAAATAATAATGCTGTCACAGTAAAATATTTATTCGATTTATCAAACCATTAAATTGAGCCAATAAATCTTACCTACCATTTGCCTCGCTATTTGCTGATCATCGGATATATTATAATGGATCATTCCATAGGATTATTCATCCGTAGGCAAATATACAGTGTGCAAAAGCCAAATGGAATAACTTCATTATTTCGGTTACGGTACATATTTTAACAAAATCCCGAAACACGTCAAATTTAAATTATATTTTGACATACTTCAATGGAAAAATGCTACCCCTACCTTCAACCCCCGTCGAATGACAGGTACAACTTCCAATTTTTTAAATGGGAAGTATAGGCTTGTGATATATCGTTTGAAAGGTATCTTCATTCTCTATTCAAAAATGTTATCGCTTTCAAGTTTATTGCAACAATCATAATAAAATTTTTAAAATCATGTGGTTACCAAAATTCAATAAAATACACCCAAAACCTATTGCAATATACTCAAAACTAATTTCAATTTGAGGTATTGATAATAAGTAAGTAAGCAAAAACCATAGCAATGTTCTTTTTAGATGGTATCCTTTGAAAAAACTGTAAATAATTTCCGTGGCAACATTAGTTTAAAACGCCTTGTCAACTTGTTTTGTATGTTACAATATTAGTTGTCAGTATTTTAATTTAAATTTGAAGTTCGTTAACTTCAAGTCTGACAAATGGTAAGATTAACGGAAATGCATAAAAAACAGTTTTACAAATGATAAGCAAGATAGAGAAGCAATTTCGGAAGCTTGGTCATGTGGGGCAGATAAAAAAAGCAGCTGCCAATGCAATAAGTGATGAAATTAAATTAGATGTGATGCTTGAGTTTGAGGAAAACCCATATACATCAAGTAGACAGGCATTCATTACATTAAATGTTAGCCATACATCGATAGTAAATATATTAAAAAATAAATGAAAGGCATCCCTATAAAATGATGCCTACTCATGGAAGACGATTTTGATAGAACTCATTTTTGTGAGCAAATGATGGACATGTTGGATAACTATATTATCCAATTAGAAGACGTTATGTTTTCTGATGAGTGTATTTTCTCTTAACGGCCTTGCCAATCGGCAAAATTGCCGCTACTGGTCCACGGAAAATCGTCACTGGATGAGAGAAGAACACACGCAATACCCTCAAAAGGTTAATGTTTGGGTAGGGATTGTAGGAAATCATATCATTGGTCCCTATTTCATTGAGGGCAACTTGAATGGCGATAATTATTTGGCACTACTTCAAAATGGTGTCATTCCACATTTAGCAAATTTATATCCTGATCCAGGAAACCCTCAAATTCCAGTGAATACGATATGGTTTCAGCAAGATGGAGCACCACCACATTACCAAGTTAATGTCCGGCAATACCTCGATACAACATTTCCCAATCGGTGTATAGGGAGGCGAGAATCGATTGAATGGCCAGCACGATCACCTGATCTTTCATCATTAGATTTCTTTTTATGGGGATATGTAAAGAGCAATGTGTACAACACTAAACCTTCAGATTTGAATGATTTAAAAGAACGAATAACGCTTGCGATTAGTTCGGTCACGCCTGATATGTTAAATAATGTTAGAAGGCAGTTTTATTTGAGATTAGATGTTGCCAAAACGTTCGCGGTGAACATTTTGAACATCTACTTCGTTAACATCCATAGTTCTTTTTCGTATTCTACATTTTTGCATTACACTTTAGTTTTTGAGTGTATTTTATCGAATTTCGGTAACCGCATGATTTAAATTTATTTCATCTTATTTGTTGCAATACACTTAAAAGCGATAACATTTTTGAATAGAGAATGAAG